TTTTTTTGTGTTTCTTTTTTTATGAGGGAAAAAATAAAGGCCTACTTGATTAATGCCGAATCTGCAGAAGGCAGCTCGAACTTGACACCCCTTTCGATAATAATAATTGTGCACGAAAACTTTTAAGGCCGTGTTCGGTCCAACGAACGCCGTACGCTTTCTTTGACCCACACACTCTGTCTTCTCCTCGTTGTACAGGTATCGCGGAGCGTAATGTTCGGAATGCGACGAATGTCTCCTTTATATGTCGCACGAGGACTGTTATTGCTGTTGTTAAGCCATACGCGAACGTAATTTCATGACTCGGGGCTGTGCCACTGACCGCAATAGCCGGACCGATTTTACGCCCGAGACGGCTTTTCATTTGTTACTTTATTATCCGTCCGTCTTTTCATTTTATTTTTATTTACTCCCTCTACTCTCTCCGTGTTGGTAGTGGCACTGCACGTTATTTCTCTGCTTTTGATACGTATATATTTTATATACATGGGACAGCGAGAAAGTGGGCTTATACATTCTGCAAACTGCGTTGCAGCGCTCGGCCGAACTTGCGTGTATGCATGCCCCCGGTCTTACGCAAACTCGGTTATTATAAAAATAGCGCAGGCGTCAAGGGGAATTAACGTTGGCGTACGCTAGCTTTATACTGTCGTTTTGGTAATTTTATATTTATTTGCGGTAATAAAGAAAAAAAGAAAGATAACCCTCTCCCTAAGAGCACCACCGGTCAAACACGTTTTTTTTTTCGTTTTTTTTTTTTTTTGGGGGGGGGGGGGGGGGTAAGGGTGGAATTGCGCATTAAGGCTCTGCCAAAAATGAAGTTTAATGGACCAAACATGGTGTCCCTGCATCGGAGTGTGCGAAGTCAGCGTGGAGGCCGAGGGAAGGAGAAGGACCTGCGGTAATTGCATCTTCGGTTTCACCGTCGAGGAAACCTTATGCGGGGATGATGAGGGGAGGGGGGGGGGGGGGGGGAGTGATAGCCTCGCGTATGGTTGCCGAGCGTACACAAATATTCAATACGCAGCGGTAGCAGTTCCGTTGTGCGCTGCCATGTACTTCCATCTGATGATTTCGATGATTCCTGCGATACATCGAACGAGTCATAGCAGTATATTGTCGAGTCACTCCTGCATGCTTGGGCGTATAGACGCGTCCGGAAGGTTGCATCAAGGTCGTTTTTTTTGGCACCATGACAGAACAGCACACGACAAAACAGCACGCGACAAAACAGCACGGTCAAAACAGCACGCGTCAAAACAGCACAGCGTCAAAACAGCACGGCGACAAAACAGCACGCGTCAAAATAGCACGCGACAAAACAACACAGCGTCAAACCGGCACAGCGACAGAAGAGCACGTGCCAAAACAGCGCGGCGTCAAAACAGCACAGCGTCAAAACAGCACAGCGACAAAACAGCACAACGTCAAAAGGCAC